ACCCCAAAATCTTAAACCCCTCTGCAACTCAGACTAACCTGAGCACAACCAAACAGAACACTCCCCCAGCCAATCAGAGCACAGCCAAGCCCCTAACCATTCAGAACACACTCCACCCAATCAGAACACAGCCAAGCTCCCATCCAATCAGTTCATACCCTCACTGGCAGTTAAAAGGAAGAAACAGCTAAACCACACATTGCTGCTCAAAGCAAGAAGCTAAAAACCCCAGCCTGAAGATGACGAATGTGACTTCGTCGAAACGTTGCCAAGACACTTCCAATTTTACGCGGGAGAAAACCCGAACAACCAAAGACCTATATACAAATACCCGCGAAAACCTCAGAAAACAAATATCGAACCTCTACGGGGAGGAAATCCACCATCTGACCAGGACCTATGAAAAACTTGAAGTGCAAAGAGCTTCCATTTTATGTGACCTCGCATTCCTACGTAACTGCCGAGATCAAAATCTAATCCCCACATGTTTCCAACTGAAATTCCACTCCAACTCTGCAGCCACCCAACGGATCCTGAAAAGAACAGAATTGGCCCTAATCAGAAATGAACTTCACACAAAAAGATTCCTCCTAGACCGAATTAACAAAGATCTCCTCACACTCCACCTCAAACTCAGCAACAAGATCCACCCCGCACTATGGGACAAATCCAAACAACTCGCCGTCTGGAGAGCCAAAACACAGACCACCCTCAAGACAGATACACACACCAACAAACTCCGAAGACTACAAGAACGCCAGAAACACACCCCTCCTCCCTCACAGCCACACATGAAACAAACAGTGCATAACATCTCAGATAGGATCCTCACCAAAGCCGAAACCAATGTCCTTTCCAAAGGATTAAACTTTGCAGTCGCTCCCAAACACATCCCCACTGAAACCATTATATGTGAAGTTGAAACCAGCCTGACCAAAATCAACCCCGATGACGCTAACAAAATCAGACTCAAAATCACCAACATCCTCTGCACCAGCAAGCCACCAAAAAGCAACTTACCCAAAGAGGAACAGACAGCACTACGTAACCTGAAAGAAGACACCAGCATAATAATCCTACCAGCAGACAAGGGCAACGCCACGGTGGTTATGAACACATCTGACTACCAAACCAAATTAACCAACCTACTCCAAGACTCCACATACAAACCCCTAAATACAGATCCCACCACCTACCTGGAAAAAAACACCAGAACCAAGATAAAAGCCTCCCCCATTAGCGAAGAGATCCAGCAAAGAATCATTCCCAGAGAGAAATCATCCAGATGCCCTAAACTCTATGGTCTCCCCAAGATACACAAGGAAGGAACCCCACTCAGACCTATAGTCAGCTCCATAGGCTCACCTCTACAAAACCTAGCCAAATTTCTCGCCCAACAACTACAGCCCTATGCAGAATCCCTCACCTCACACGTAAAAAACTCATTCCAGTTTATAGAGATCATAAAGAAACAAAGCTTACAGCCCAGCGACCTACTAGTGAGCTTCGATGTCATATCCCTCTTCACCAAAGTGACTATCAAAGAAGCCTTGACAGCTATTCAAAACAAATATAACCCCCCCAAACACATCTTAGATCTGACCAACCACTGCCTATCCAACACATACTTCATCTATAACGGACAAAAATACAAACAAACAGAAGGAGCACCCATGGGATCACCACTCTCACCTGTCATTGCCAACCTCTACATGGAACACTTTGAAACCCAAGCTCTAGAAAAATCGGATCACAAACCCAAACTCTGGCTCAGATATGTAGACGACACCTTCATAATCTGGCCACATGGGAAAGAAAAACTGGACAACTTCCTCACACACATCAACAGCCTACACCCCAAAATACAGTTCACCATGGAAACAGAAGCTAACAACCAACTTCCCTTCCTAGATGTCTTAGTCTACAAGAAATCCAATGGCTCCCTAGGACACACCATCTACCAGAAGAAAACACACACAAACCGCTATCTGCACGCTCTATCACACCACCACCCAGCACAGATCAACTCTGTAGCCAAGACACTCATCTCCAGAACAAAACGCTTAGCTGACGAACAACACCTAAAACCCGAACTACACACTCTCACCAATGTACTAACATCCAATGGATTCCATAGCAATAAGATTACAAACCTAATCCAAAAAGAAACCCCCACCAAAATCCAAGACAAAGAACAAGAAACGGCAAAGCCCTCCTCCCATACATAAAAGGCACCACAGACAGAATCAGTAAGATCCTTCATAAACACAACATCAAAACAGCATTCTGCACAAACAGAAAAATATCCACCATCCTTAGAAACCCAAAGATAAAATTGAATTAGAAAATCAAGGAGTATACGAAATCCCATGCACCACTTGTCCCACCACATACATCGGACAAACCAACAGAAGAATAAGTGCACGCATTGAAGAACATAAGAACTCAGTCAAAAAAGAGGAACAAACATCTTCCCTGGTCCAACACCTTAAAGCCACAGGACATGAAATTGACTTTAAAAATACCAGAACCATTGCCAAAAGTGAACATTTTAATAACAGAATAATCAGAGAAGCCATCGAGATAGAAAAAGCCCACACAGCATGAACAAGCGAGATGATACCTCCCGCCTACCAGCCATTTGGAAACCCACCCTTATTGACAAACGACTCCCTAACCCCAAAATCTTAAACCCCTCTGCAACTCAGACTAACCTGAGCACAACCAAACAGAACACTCCCCCAGCCAATCAGAGCACAGCCAAGCCCCTAACCATTCAGAACAAACCTCCACCCAATCAGAACACAGCCAAGCTCCCATCCAATCATTTCATACCCTCACTGGCAGTTAAAAGGAAGAAACAGCTAAAACCACACATTGCTGCTCAAAGCAAGAAGCTAAAAACACCAGCCTGAAGATGACGAATGTGACTTCGTCGAAACGTTGCCAAGACACTTCCAATTTTACGAGGGAGAAAACCCGAACAACCAAAGACCTATATATATATATATATATATATATATATATATATATATATATATATATATATATATATATATATTTCTATAACACTATACATGATACATATACTATTCTCTAAGTATTGTCACCACTCTTAATTTCATTCACTATCACTCTTACTTGAATAATCACCTGTTTATATTTCTTTACGATATTATGATTACTTTTCCACTTCTATTAAGTTCAATTACACTTATTTCTATTTCATTAATGCAATTCATTTACTTCATTACTTTTAATACATTTGCCTGAGACCACTTTTCTGCTTGTAGCTTAATCACTGCTTGTATATGAGTAAATATTGCATCAGCCTTTTTTTCCTTCAGTCTCAATTTAATATGTCCACCAATCCATCAAATGTCACCTCTTATTGTTTCTTCTCTACATCCAATATTTCCAAAACATCCACTCATCACTTTGTCCAGATATGTGTCAATAAAAGTCCAAGTTTCAATGTTATTTGTTCTTCAAAAATAAGCTAAATTTCTCTGTTGTGTCACTTCACCTTTTAATCCTTATGTTAATTTTTCAAAGTCCTTCTTAATCACCTTTTATTGCCTCCAACTGTCCTTTCTCCAGTCCTTTCTTATTTCATTCACAACTTCTTGCAGTTCTTAAATTCCAGTCTCTCACATTTTGTAAACTTTGCTGTGGGCTCTCAGCATTCTTCACGCTGTTCTCCTTCTGCTCTATTTGCTCCCTTCTCCGCTGTTTCAATTCAGTTGCTGCTGTATTTCTATCCTTATAGCTTTACTTTTCCTGTGCCTTCTCTCAGCCAAATGATCCTCACATCCTTCAGGGGTTTCCTCGTTTCCCATTACAAAGGTGCTGGTTCAATTTTTCACTCCCTTTCAGACTGCCGTCATCGCTCCAAGCCGGCCTTAAAGACCGGTTTCTTCGCCAATTTTAAGAGTGCTGCTCCATTATGCTTGGGTGTTTGCTTTCCATCCGGCTTCTCTGAAGCTTCCTCTTTAATTTACCAATCTCTCCGGGATCAGCAAAGCCCTTGCTGGCTCTTGGCAAAGATTTTCCCGGGACTTAGGAACAGAGAACTGTTCCTTCACCCGCTCCACAATGACGTCACAGCCGGAAGTCCACATCTGCTTTTCTAATGCAGTGGTCTCCAACTTTTGCAGGTTGGTGATCTGATGGGGGATAGAGGGGTACCAGGCCGTGTGACTGGTGGGCTGGTGCACATGCTGCATGTACAGCTTGACTTGTGTAAGTGGCGGGTTGCTGCGCACGCCCATGCATGTGCACATAAACATGCAGCATGACTGCAAGTGGAGCTGCACACACATGCTTGTGTATGCCAGCCTGCTGTTTGCACAAGTTGAGCTGCATGTGTGTGTGTGTGTGTGTGTGTGTGTGTTGGCCTGCGGCTTTGTTGCGAACAGGCCACAGCCCGGTAATGGGCCATGGTGTGGGAGTTGGGGACCCTTGCTCTAATGGAACGATTAATTCAGAGCTACTGTGAAAACCCCATGGATTTTGAATATGAACACAAATGTAAACATTTAGTTCTTTTTCATCTAAGCTGGTACTTTTCAGTTTTCAATTCTTTCAATAAAAAACTGATTAACCATTATTTGGGGTATATGTCTAACAAAAAAGATATTTGACTGGCACTAGTTATCATACAACAGAGACAAACATTATTCTTGAAAGAAACAAAATTCAAATATGTACAAGTACCCTAAAATATTGTTTTTATTTTTGGAATTAATATTAATGCATTGTTAGTTTCTCTTGAGTTCTTTCTCAAAAGTACTTCTGTCTTACAATTCTTCCAAAATAAAAGGGTGGAACATTTTTTACTCTACATTTTTAATAGCTAGGGATAGAACGTAATTGAAAATAGCAGACAAAATTCTCTTCTGAAACAGTTACAAATAAGGAACATTGCTTAAGAATCTTAGAACAAGAGGGAAATGTCCACATTTATTTATAGAAAGAGCTTTATTTTCTTTATTATGCAGAACAAAGAATTCGTTTGCCGAGGACATGATTATGAGCGTCTGGAGGCATTTCAACAGCGGATGTTAAATGAGTTCCCACATGCCATTGCTATGCAACATGCCAATCCACCGGATGAAACCATCTTTCAAGGAGAGTCACAGTGTATCCCTATTATTGTTTTAAAGCCATGCACGTCTACTAGATTAACTTTAAATGGAGCAGTGTGTGTTAAATCGAAATTAAAAAATACATAATACAGATCTGGGTTTACTTTAAAAGTAGTAATGGAAAAAAGAAATTAAATAAACTGATAGCAGATGCAAAAGCTGTGTAATGATGTTACAAAAAAATGGAGATACAGGAATAGTGATATAATATCAGCATGGTTTTTCAGAAAATGACACTAATGCAAGGAAAGGTGGAAGGAAAGAGAAGAGGATGACCAGCAGCAAGGTGAATGGACTTAGTTACAGAAGCAATAGGATGCAATATTGAATGACTAAACCTAAAAGAGCAGGTTAGGAACAGATTGTCAAGTATAGTATCTGTATGGTATCTAGGAGACGAAAATTACTTGATGGGACATAATAAATCACTGATCAGCATGATCATGTTAACAGAAAAATGGACTAAAAGAAAAGAGAGAAAATAATAGCAACAAAAATATTTACTTGAATTACAGGTTTCCTTTTGATTAAAATGAAAACTCAAGGTAGTTTACAGTTTAAAAAATAAAAATGTAGTATATACAAAAAATAATATCATTGGACTTTAAATGCTTGGCTAATGATTGAATATTGTCCTCATGGATATTCTAAAGCAAAAAGAAAATAGGTTGCATGAACTCTTAAGATGATGGAGTGACACAGGATAATGTGTCTGGCAGATTCCGTTCTGAATATCTTAGTTTGTGGTCAAGTGCATAGTAAAGTAGTAGTTCTTTCACAGCGAAGTAAGGTGTTCCAGTCTGTTATAACAGTGGGACCGAAATATTAGGTGAACTCAATTTTTTGTTTTCCAGATTTGCTCCTGCAAATTCCAAATTGCTTGTTAACTGTTATGCACTTTACTTGCTTTCTTTATCTAGCAAATGCATCCTCTTCTGTTTACTTAGTACTTAACAGTTTATACATAGATCTGCAAATCTATGCTGTGACACCAATTCCTGAAAGCCAGGATGTACTACAAAGAGAAGGCATTCCAGATAATATCAAAAGTTTTTATAAAGTCAATCATATTTGGCGATTCCGGTATGACAGGCCATTTCACAAAGGGACCAAAGACAAAGACAATGAATTTAAGGTATATTATCATTCCAATTCTCATTTACAAGTATTTGATTCATTTCAGAGTTTCCAAGAAGAATTCATAGAAATGAAAAGTAAAACTAGATGACTCATTGGAGTTTGGTATATATTAAATACATGTTTTTATTTTCCTGTTATTTAGAAAATGAAGATTGATTTTCTTCACACCATATAGAGGGAATTAATATATGCCAAATTCACATGGCATAGATTAGAAACAGGGTATGAAATTGGGAGTATTGTGGATACAAATCATTCCTAATAATGCCATCTGCCATATCTAAAGAAGTTTATATGGAAACAAGAGATAATGATGAGGACTGATAGTGCTTATTAAGAAAGAAAAGGAACCTAGGTACCCAGAAAAGATGAAAGACTTAAGCTAAGTTATCAAACAGAAGCCAGAGGCACACAGTTCTGTCAAACTGACTAGCAGCAGGGTCATCTAGAGCAGCGGCCCCCAAACCTTTGGGAACCAGGGACCGGTTCCGTGGAGAGAGGTTTTTCCACAGACTGCAGGGGGTGTGGTTTCGTGTGCTGCCTGCATCCCATGGATGGGTCTTCGCTTGTTTGTGTGGACCGGTTTCTGGCAGGCGATGGACTAGTGCCGGTCCAAGGACTGGGAGTTGAGGACCTCTGATCTAGAGACTTGAGTATGTGTTGTCTGAAACCTAAGCAAATGAACTTTGCCATTTTTAGAAGAAAGTGGATCAAGAATTTTCTGAGAGCAAGAATTTCCATCATTCCTTGAATCTTTATTATGCTAAGCACTTCCAGTTCCTTCAAGTTTTCTTCAAAAATGAATCCCCAACATTTTTGTCATTCCTTGAATTCTGTTATTTTTGGTGGTTTTTAATTTATCAAGATCTTTTAAAATTTTATTTCTCTCTTGAAGAATTTAATTTAATTTAATTTAATTTAATAATTTAATTCTGTCTTGGAATTTAAGCAGTATTGGGCCTTGTTAGTACTTGGCTGGGAGTCCATTAGCTAATACTGTAGATTATACCGAAATGTTGGGGGAAAAAATCTCGGAAAAATGCAGTGCCAAATGACTTTTGAGTTGCTGCCAAGAAAATTAGTATCCCATTTTGTTTAAATAAACTGATTCCCCCTATCTCTTTATCATTCAAAGTTAAATACATAAATTATTGCAGATACATGTTCTGGGACTCAACTTTATGACAGCCACTTCATACCTCACTCCAGAAATAGAATACATAATTGGCATTTTATTTTTTATTTCAGAGTTTATGGGTAGAGAGAACAACACTGATCTTGGTGCAGAGCTTGCCAGGAATATCCCGATGGTTTGAAGTGGAGAAACGTGAAATTGTGAGTATAAAAATGGGAAAAATAGGTGACCCTCCACTATTACCATAGCATATTGGATGTCAAATAATTTTGCATGTTGCTTTAAATTGCTTACATTAGAATAACAAATAGCAAATAACAATAAAGCTCAAAACTGATTTTGAACTTACTCTAAGAAGTCAAAGAGAAAAGGAAAGGAAGAAATTTGTTTATAGAATTATTAATGCTGTCGGGTCCCCAAAAGAAATACATTGTTTCTCTATGCCTATTCATGCGTCTGTAACCTTTCTTTAGAGCAGAGCTCTGCAACCTTAAACACTCAAAGAGCCATTGGACCTGTTTCCCAGAGAAAAGAAAACACTAGGAGCCTCAAAACTTGTTTGTGTGTGGGGACCTTGATTGAAGAGTTTAGTTAAAAAGAAATAGAGGCTGCTGTGCATGAGTGTTCTCTCTCTCTCTTTCTCTCTCTCTCTCTCTCTCTCTCTCTTTCCTCTCCCTCCCTCTCTCTCTCTTTCATCTCCCTCTCTCTCTTTCTCTCTTTCCTCTCTCTTTCCTCTCCCTCTCTCTCTCCCTCTTTCTCTCTTTCTTTCTCTCTTTCTCTCTCTCTCCCTCTCTCTCTTTTCTCTCTCTCTTTCACTCTTTTTTCTCTCTCTTTTTCTCTCTCTCTTTCACTCTCTTTTTTCTCTCTCTCTCTGTCTCTTTCTCTCCCTCTCTCTCCCCCCTCTTTTTCTCTCCCCCTTCTCTTTCTCTCTCTTTCCTCTCTCTTTTTTTCTCTCTCTCTTCCTCTCTCTCTTTCCTCTCTTTCTTTCTCTCCCTCTCTCTCCCCCTCTCTCTCCCTCTCTCCGATCTTCTGGTCACCTGGCAAGCTGGCTTCAGGCTGTTCTGCAACAAGCTGAACACATTATTGGGCTGGCTCTATCCTGCCCTTCCTGCTACCTGTAGAGATGTAGCAAAGGAAGGAACCCCGCCCAATAAGCTTGTCAGCTTGTCGGAACAGTGTAAGGCCACTCTCTTTTTTACAGAGAGAGGGGGGGGAAGCAGGGAAGTGCAAGTCCCTCTCTCTGTCTCTGTTTTTCTCTCTCTCTGCAAATGGCAGAGGAGGCTGGGAGCCACAGGGGAAGGCTCAAAGAGCCACATGCAGTTCCGGAGCTGCGGGTTGCTGACCCATGCTTTAAGGTCTATCATTCTGTTGGGAGGGAGGATGCTTTGGGGATGCTTTGCACTGTCTTGCTATTGTGCCCTTCCCCCAGGGGATGAAATGTATCACCCTCATCTGAGAGACGGTTGCGTTTGGAGCCAGAAGGAAACAAAAGCAAGAGAGACCTTGAAAGTACGCGCCAAAGAACCCAATTACCAAACCAATATGCCACCTGTGAATTGGCTGGAATTCAAATGAACACTGATATTCTGGGAGGAGGAGTATTGAATATTGTTTTTAATATATTGTTTCACAGGTTTTTCCTCAGACCTCGCCATTTTTACAGAGTTTTCTGGTATTTGAAATTCCTTTTTAAGGCATTTATTTAATAACAATCACTAGTTTAGAAGTGTAATGAATTGGCACTTTAATTGTAATTATGTAATTAGGACTGATATAATTACATTTCTTAGTATGACTCATTGAATGTTTATGAGTAGCTATTGAAACAAATTATGAGAATAAATAACAAAATGTATTCATAACATCTGGACATGCTAACTAATTAAAATGTCAGAGTTATTTTTATAAATTTTGGCTACAGTTAAATGTTCAATAATACACTTCTGTATTTTAACATGGCCATATGGTTATAATGATGAGAGTTGTGAATAATGTACTTGGAGAAAGGCTTCTCTAACAATCCTTCAGTTTGTGGTTAGGGTTTATATGTGGCACTAGACCTAACAGCCTCAACCTTGCTTGAGAGATTGAGATTTGACTTTTCCCCTAAGCATTTGGAGCCAGTTGAGTGGAATTTCCTTTTGGTTGTTTTTATGATGGTGCTTGGTCACCATTTGATATTCTGTACTTCATATTCATATTTTAAATGCGGGGTGGAATGGGATTTAATTTATTATTTATTTTGGGATACGATATGTTGCCCAGAGTCACATGTTTGAGTTGGATGGATTTATAAATCTAGTAAGTAAGTAGTAAGTAGTATGTAAATAAATAAATCAGCCAAATGTTATAAATAAAAGTATAAATTAATAAATGGCTTGTTCATAAAATGAGATTAAAATGAACTATGTGCTTCATGTGATGTATGAATACAGTTAAAATTTCAAAGCTGTCAACCCATTTCTAGTTCTATGTAACTTTCATCTGCTTACATAGAAGCTAAAGTGTGAACTTTTCCAAAATCACTTATAATTCAAATAAATATTTTTGTTGCTATTATTTTCCCTCTTTTCTTTTAGTCCATTTTTCTGTTAGCGTGATCATGCTGATCAGTGATTTATTATGTCCCATCAAGTAATTTTCGTCTCCTAGATACCACACAGATACTGTGCTTGACAATCTGTTCCTAACCTGCTCTTTTAGGTTTAGTCATCCAATATTGCATCCATTGCTTCTGTAACTAAGTCCATTCACCTTGCTTGCTGGTCATCCTCTTTTTCTCTTTCCTTCCACCTTTCCTTGCATTAGTGTCCTTTTCTGAAAAACCATGCAACCACTTAAAATTTATTGATATCATTGGAACTGATTTGTGAACAATTTATTCAGAAAAGGAAAAAAAGACAATAACAATGTTTAAATACACTGGATTGGAAAACCGTATTCACTGTAACATTTATTTTATTTTTATTTATTTTATTTTTAAAATTTATAAGCCGCCCCACTCCCGAAGGACTCTGGGTGGCTAACAATAAAAAACACATAAAACATAACAAAACAACAATACAAAAACAATCATCCAGGGGTAAGGTTTTATAAACCGCAGGCCTGCCGGAAAAGCCAGGTCTTAAGTAGCTTACGGAAGACCAACAGGGTGGGAGCAGTCCTAATCTCCGGGGGGAGCTGATTCCAAAGCGTGGGCGCCATCACAAAGAAGGCCCTCCTCTGCGGCCCTGCCAAATGGCACTGCTTGGCCGACGGGGCCTGAAGGAGGCCCAGCCTGTGGGATCTAACCGGACGTAGGGAACTATGAGGTAGTAGGCGGTCTCGCAAATAGCCTGGCCCTGAGCCATATAGGGCTTTAAAGGTAATGACCTTTATGAATAATTATGAATAATCAGGTACTTTGAAATAATAATTTGATAATTTGTAATCACCCCAAATATTGGTTTTAAGAAATGCTAATTGGTGTTCATAAATTACATCCATAATTCTAAAAACCATAAAGAATGCCAGAATTTGGATAATTTAATAATATTTTCAACATGAAAATCTCAGAATGATGGGCTATGAAATAGCTGGAAAATCAACATGTTTTGTTGTGACTTTCAGGTGCAAATCAACCTATCTTGTTTTTATTTTTGCCATTTTTGTTATGATGTGTAGGTGGAAATGAGCCCATTGGAGAATGCTATTGAAGTATTGGGAAATAAAAACCAGCAGTTAAGGACATTGATCAGTCAGTGCCAGACTCGACAGATGCAGAATATCAATCCACTTACAATGTGTTTGAATGGTGTAATTGATGCAGCAGTTAATGGAGGAGTTGCCAGGTATCAAGAAGTAAGTGTGGTTCCATATGTGTTGGGGTTAGATTGCATTCTTGTTATAGTACTCCAAATACTAGTTGCTAAGGAGTAATATTAGAAAAGAGTTGTAGTTTTATAACTTTCAGGTACTTTAAGGTGTCCATTAGGTTCTATAGAATACTATATTATTAAGTATTATATGCGTCTTCATCCTTGCCAATATTTTTTTTATTCTCTTATTCTCCCAATTTACTAAACCTAATTTAAATAAATGCAAATGTTTTATTTAAATTTATTGATATATTAATTACAAATACTTAAAATCTGAATGGCTAATATTTTGATTGATTTTCAAATCTGCAATATTTATTATACAAGTAGTCTTTGTTTAACAATCATAAATGGGATTGGAAACTCATTCATTGAGTGAAACAGTCATTAAATAAGATGCCCATGTGACTGCTGTGCTCAATGATTGCAATCCTGGCTCTCCTGATTGCACTTTGTCAGGGCCCACTTCAAAACCTCATCCCAAGAAAGCAGGACTCTTGGAACAGTTTCTTTCCAAAAGGAACTTTTATTAGGAGAAGCTGATAGCAGGCATGATAGGCAGGATCTGAGGGTTTCCTGCTCAGATTAATAGATTAAAAGAGTCCCAAGCATAACCCCAATAGTTCATCCAGTCAGTTTTAATGGGCCAATCCCCAGGTGTTAAGTCCACTGTGGGAAAGGAGCTGATAACGGAGTCCTTTCCATGCTTGTGAAGATGTTGTTGGGTCTTCGCACCTTCCCTTCCGCAGCGAGAGATAAGCCAGATGGGCCAGAGGCACATTCCTTTCTCACCCCAAGATAACATCAAGGGAGAGACAGTTCAAAGAGTAAGTATGTAGGAACAGTGGAAAGGCTACATTGTAGCAAAGCAGAATAACATACCACAGAGCCCTCTCCCCTCCCCCTCAGGAGAATGGCAGAACCCTCAGAAAGAATGAATTAGGAAAGAAATGAGATAGATATCCCCCCCAGGGAAAAAAAGGGTTCTGACACAGTTATTAAGTGATCTCTTTGGTCGGGAAAGAGCTGCCTGCTAAAGGATTTCAACTGCATACAAAGCTGAAATCCCCCTTGGACACAGCTCAGAGAGTGAAAAGTCTGCCTGCTGGAGACTTCAGTTCCTAGGAAATAGCCTTTTGCTCTCAAACATTCCTGCAGCCCACCAAAGTATTTTCCATCCTGAGCATGGAGGGAAATCTTTTGTGGGGCAATCAGAACAGACCTGAAATTCTGAAGATTTTAGTTCCGTTCCTGTAGCCCTCAAAAGATTTCAACTCAACTCTTTGCCCTCTGATGCAATTTTCCTGCTGACTTCCCCATTGACTTTCTGGGGAAGTTAGCAGAGAAGATTGCAAATGGCGATCACAGATCATGGGGGGAGGGAGGCTTGGCAACCTGTCGTAAGTGCAGATCAATCACCGAGCATCCTGATCATGATCCTGTGACTGTGGGGGATGGTGTAATGTTTTGCAATGCTTGAAAGTGCTTTATAGGCCACAGAGCACTCTTTTCAAAGTCTTTGTTAATTTGACTCATTGTTAAATAAGGATGACCTGTATGTGTAAGGACCCACCCCACTTTGCATCTTAAGAAGACAGAACTCTTGGAAGAATTCTTCCAACAGGAATCCTTTATTAAGAAGAAGTGGTTGCAGGCGTGCTAGACAGGACTTGGGGTCCAAGCTCTCCCATTCAAGGTTTTAAGGGGTTCCCCAGTAGTCCCACCCAATCACCCCCACTTCCAATGATAGTTTCAGGCATCACAATTCCACCCCTTTATTCCTTTCTTCTGTCTGGATGGAGACTTCAGATAAACTACATGAAAGGTAAATAGCCCCCTTTGTTATGGTAAAGTTCTTTGGTGCTAACTACATTCAAACTCTTTGAGGTTGCAATAAACACATTCAGTTCCTTAGAAGTATACTGAAGGAAGTGAGGGCCATAAAGCCCCTTTGTTCTTCCCCTTCTCTCCCTCTTATGGCAGAATCCAGAGAAGGCAGAATTGGGGTTTTCTATGTTTGATAATTAAAGATGAAATATAATTGGATTCTGACATCCGGCCCCTCTTAAAAATAAGAGAGATCCACCTGAAAGAAAACAAAACAGGTATAAAACTTAGTCAGGCTTGTTAGGATACTCTGTGTGAAACTTCCTCAATAGCTTCGGGGCTCTGACATGACGTTTATGGACCCACTCGTTTTGTGAGGGAAGGAGGTGTTTCCAGGCAACTAGGTACTGAGTTGCTCCATGATATCTCCTAGAATCAAGGATTTCCTTTATTTCAAAGTGTTGTTCACACTCCACCATGATTGGAGGTGGCGGGGGGGGGATTTTTGGCCGTAGAGGTGACTGATGTTCTCTTTTCAGCAAGCTGCAATGAAAAATTGGGTGTATTTGCCTGAGATTTTTGGGTAATTCTAATTCTACTGTTACTGGATTTATGATTCTTTTAATTGGAAAAGGTCCCATATATTTTGGTCCAAGTTTTTTACAGGGCTGTAGGGACTTTAGGTATTTTCTAGATAAGTACACCATTTCTCTTATAATGAATGGTGTAGGCTCAACCTTTTTTTTATCGGCTTGTGCTTTCTATGCCTGCCTAGCTTCATCTAGTGCTTTTCTAACTATTGGCCAGGTGTTTTATAGTTTTTCCATCCATTCTTTCAGTGAAGGGATCGTTGGTTCGTTTGGGGTTAACTCTGGCATAGGGTTGAAACTTTGACCATTGGCTATTTGAAAAGGAGTGTAGCCTGTGCTGGAGTGGACTGCATTATTGTAGGCAACTTCTGCAAAAGGAAGTAAGTCCGTCCAATCACTCTGTTGGAAATTTAAAAAACATCTCAAATATTGCTCAAGTACTGAATGGCACCGTTCCGTTTGTCCATCTGTCCGAGGGTGATGGCTAGATGTCAGTCCCTGAGTGGTCCCTAAGAGGGATAAAAATTCCTTCCAAAATGCAGACGTAAATTGCACTCCCCTATCAGAGATGATGCGTTGGGGTGCCCCATGCAATCTGTAAATGTGCTGGATGAAAAGTTTTGCTAAGGCCTTTGCAGTGGGAATCTTTTGGCAAGGGATAAAGTGCACCTGTTTGGAAAACAAGTCCGTGAGTGTCCAGATAACAGTATTCCCATTGCTTTCTGGCAATTCCACTATAAAATCCATGGCTATTTCCCTCCAGGGGGCTGAGGGACTTGCCACTGGTTGTAATAGCCCTGGCGATTTCCCTTGCAACCTCTTTGCCGATGCACAGGTTGGGCAGCTGGCAACATAACGTTCTATGTCCTTTTTTATTGATGGCCACCAAAATTGCCGTTTAATTAAGTGTAAAGTTTTTACAAATCCAAAATGCCCTGCTGATTTTGTGTCATGGCAAAGGTGCATGAAAGTGACTCTTTGAGTTGTTGGTATATATAACTTTTCCCCTACCCAAGGCAACCCGTCTCTCATTGTGCACACATTTTTGTTTTTCTGGAACTATTCATCTGTTTCCAAACTTTTTCTGAATTCAATTCCAGTTTGGCTGTCCAGTTGTGGTTTTAATTTGGCTTGGGTTCTTGTGGTTACTGGTGCTGCCAGTTGTGACTCTGCCATTATTGGTCTAGAGTCTGTGGTTCGTGCGCTGGTATATTGGGGCATGCGAGATAGTGCATCTGCCAGGAAGTTCTTTCTTCCTGGTAAATGTTTGAGCTTAAATTGGAATTGGTGAAAATGCTGGGACCAGCGGGCTTGTGTGGGATTGAGTTTCCTGGAAGTTTTCAGGGCTTCTAAATTTTTGTGATCAGTCCATACCTGGAAGGGGATTTTGTTGCCTTCCAGGAACTGTCGCCACGTGAGTAATGCCCAACGTATCCCATAAGCCTCCTTCTTCCATACGGGCCAGCGCTGTTCTGTTTCCGTGAGTTTCTTGGATGTATATGCACAGGGTTGCAATACTGCATCATCATTTTCGTGTAATAGCACAGCCCCCACTGCCACATCACTTGCATCTGCCTGTATTATGAAGGGCTTGTCCATGTCTGGGTGCCTTAGTACTGGTTCGGCAGAAAAAAGTCTCTTTAGTCTCTCAAATGCTGCTTGGCACTCCATTGTCCATGTTAGCGGCTGGCTAGGTTTTACTGAGGATGCTCCCTTCGTTTTTAGTAAGTTAGTGAGGGGCAAGGCTATCTGGGCAAATGAGGGGATGAATTGGCGGTAAAAGTTTCAAAGCCAAGGAAACTTTGTAGTTGCTTTCTTATGCGGGGTGGTGCCCAATCTAATACTGCTTTGACCTTCTCTGGGTCCATTTCAATGCCCTGGGGGGATATGCGATAACCTAGGTAGTCTATCCTTTCCTGGTGGAATTCGCATTTTGAGAGTTTGGCATATAGGTGGGCAGCTCGCAGCTTCTTTAAAACCGCTCTGACAAGGTTGACGTGTTCCTCTTTTATTTCAGTAAAGATAAGAATGTCGTCCAAGTAAACAAGGACCCCCCTTAAACAGGTGGTCCCTTAGAACGTCATTGATTAATTGCATAAAGACTGCAGGGCCCCCTTGTAATCCAAATGGCAAGACTTTGAATTGATAGCACCCCATGGGGCAGTTAAATGCAGTCTTCCATTCGTCCCCTTCCTTAATTCTCACGCGATAGTAAGCTTCCCTTAGGGAAGTTTAGAAAAAAAAATTTCCCTTTCGATAGGTGTGACAGCATGTCTTTCATGAGGGGTAGAGGGTATAGGTTGCTTTCACTGATTGTATTCAGGGCCCTATAATCCACACATAAACGTAAAGAGCCATCCTTCTTCTCTCTAAAAAGGACCGGGGCAGCCACTTTAGGCTTGGCTGGCTCAATGAAACCTCTCTCCAGGTTTTTTTTTATAAATCTTTCCATTTCCTCCTTCTCCTTGGGCTCATGGAGTATAATCTGGGCTTCGGGAGTTTTGCCCCAGGCTTGAATTCAATGGTACAGTCTGTGGGTCGGTGGGGGGGGGGAGCTCATTCGCCC